ATGCCCAGAATAAGGATAAGGTCTTTCTGTTGGATACCCACTAAGACGTTGAGAGTGGTCATTTGCGCCACATAGTTTTCCACTTTCAAAGTTTTGCAAATAGACCACAGTTCAGGTGATAGAAACATGAACTATAGATCTAACTATCTGGAACATTTTTCATCTATACTCTATACTTTAAAGTGTAGTTTCTCGTATATTCGTGTTTGCTTCAATCTTAATTTCATAAGAAAATGCCATGTACGCCTCTTTACGCAGTGGTCTTTACGCCTCTCACGCGCCTCCCCACGCGTGGTCCCTCGACCGGTTGAATTGAGCCGAGATTTAATTACTGTGCCTCTGCAGGGAGGACGCGTGGGGAGGAGTGTGAGAGGCGGAGAGACCATTACAGGATTAAGCGGTACGGTCTTCCTATCATGTAGGTCCGCCATATTTAGGTCGTGGCCTAGCTAGCACTTGGCTCTTCTCATTCTGTATGTCCTCTAAGTCCGCATTCAAATCAGTGGAGTGACTAGTCCGATGGCCAAATATGGCCGACCCACTTGAATAGGCCTACTTCCCCACGGGGAATCTATTCAGTGTCTATTAGCGGGTTAGACGGCAAGCTTTTTAGTGGGTCGCCATATTTGACCCGCGGACTAGTTAGTCCACTGTTCTGAATGCAGCCTAAGGAAGCAGCTCCCTAAGTAATGATACTTACCCCAGTAGCGATATAGACAGGGAGGAATATCCAGCCCAGGGCAAGCAGACATGGTATAGCCTATAAAATATAATACATGTGATGAAAATGTATCCATAGCATCAGAGAACAAATATTTCTATAGATAAAAGACGCACAGCAATTAAGCCGGAGTACTAGTATAGCTGTGTACACTCCCTGTACCGCATACAAATTAAAAAAAAAAGTCCAAAAAAGTAAGCCAAATATAAAGGTAATGTTTTGAAACTGGATTTTCTTCAGATTTCTGGTGGTAAGGAAACTCTGTGGTATTTTTTTTAGTTATACCTTTTGAAACTATATGTGATGGTATTTGGTAGCGTTTAGTGACAATAATTTGGCATGTCAACTCTCTTAATATGCATCTTTAAAAATAAAACAGTGAAGAGTAAAGAAAATAAAAACGAAATACCCCCCCCCCCAAAAAAAAAAAAAAAAAAAAAAAAAAAAAATGAAAAGAGAAAAAACGTAGAAGAAGAAAATCAAGAAGAGAGAGACCTCCTTACGTTCCACTCGAAAACGACCACAGCGACCCCTGTGACTGCTGCAGTTCCAGCCTGGCCAATGAAATGTTCGCTACCAATGTTGCTGGCGAAGATAGACAGGCCAATCTGTAAGACAAAGGGAAAGTTTGAGATATTTCAACGACGAAATTTAAAAAAAAATGACTTATTGCGGTTTCTCTTTTAAAAATGAACAAGTTTATAAATAAGTTGAATTGCTTTACATTTATTAATGATAACAATCTAATGCCATTTCAAGAGGATAAATCAGAAGAATATGAAAGTAAGATTTAAAGCTTCCTCGCATCAATCACATTTAATTAGTAATAGGAAGGTGTATTTTACATATATATTTATATCATTGAATGACATTTTACACTAGTTTCTAGGTGCTGCTCGGGTTTCATAAATTAACTCAAGAATGTCTGCTTTTTGGGAAAATGCCCATATGCCACTCTAAAAATGCCCATAATGCCAGTCAGAAAATGCCCAATATGTCACTTACAGGCCACCAAGGCAGACTGCGACCCGCAAGGAAGAAATCGAACACCGTATTTCTTTTAGATCTGAAAATAGACTGAAGATAAAAAATAATCATTATAAAAACACCTCTATAAAACCGGATGGATTGAGTGTAACGAACTGATAAGCAAGAAATATAAAAGTATGATTCTTTACATTTGTAAACATCACTACCGATGAATTCATATGGGACAGGAAAGAGGCGATTACATGACTAAATACTTTTCTGGCATTAATGTTTAGACAACACTCATATGCTAAGTAAGTACAATGGCGTGGAAATCAACTTGCACATGTATTCACCACATACATATATTTTAATATTAAAATGTTGTAAAAATGCAAATTATATGTACATTTCGCATGAGTCAGCTGCCCACTGATCTAGACCCCTTAAAACTTATAAATGAAAGGGTATTTTATCACTACATTGGTAGGACACCCATGCCTATATGACATACAGTGGTGCCGCGGAAACCAAGGATCTCTTTCAGGAAAGAAAGCAAAAACAACTTTTTTAAAACCGACAAGAATACGGCTGGGTCGAGACTGCCTTTTGCACCATCACTGGCTATCTAATCAGTAAAAGTTCAAACGTTCAATGGTGATGGACCCACTGTTTGCAAGACGTCCCGATTTTTACCCTCTTCTGATGAACGCCTCCATTGAATTTTTACTTACGTCAGTGAAGTTCAGTTTTTGCTTTTGATGTTTTGATGGTGTGAAAGTTAACAGCCCAACTCAAAAAGGAAAAGGTGGATTTTGAGAAACTTTTCAGGGAGAGTCAGAATGGGCTAATAATAATAATAATAATAATAATAATAATAATAATTACTGGGTACATTAATAGCTTGTTACCCTAGTTTAAATGATGCGATATCATTGTTCTCTAGTGTCAATCATTTTTTATTACTTAGATATGTGATAATGGATGCACGTACTAGTATACTTTCGTACCTATCCTAAAATATGCCAGTTAATATATGCATTTTGTAAGTCATATTATTCGCAGCCGTGTGAAATGTATGGCTGCTCAGTAATGTAAGATGTAATAATTTATACCGCATGGACCGCAAATTATGAGCGTAGTATTGATTTTGAGTTACGTATAAAATGGGACGTAAATCACACTGATGACTCAGGAGATGTAGTTTTGCATATTGTTTGATCTCTGGCATGCAAAAACACTGTCATGGGCCAAGCTGAAACGGAAGTAAGCCATGTAACGAGATCTCCCATTAAAGTGACATAAACTAGATATTTTACATGTTCTTTTAAAAAAGGCGTTCTACAGATGCATCTAAAGATCTCGCTTTCAATCCCGAATGTGTTCATTAATTAAATTATTCGAAAATCTGATGGACTGATAGAACGAAATGAAACAATAATAAAAATGCATATATAATCATTTTTCCTATCTATAATTGACATCAATACATTTTTGTTGCTATACATGTATACAATGAGGAGATCCACGAGTAAAGACATGGCTTGTTTACGAATGGTTATATAATCAGATACAAGTTAAAGTATATTTATCATTCGCCTATTTCAGACTAATCATATCTGTTGAATTATTTGCACGCAAACTCCTTGCAAATGACCTCCTTCTCCAGTGTATTAAAAAACTAGGCATGCATTAATATATACTTAGAAGACTCATCCATTCATTCCAATATAAATACTCATACGGGTGTAGTAAACGACTCAGGCTGTCGCAGATGTTCCTATTCCTATGCACCATGTTCATGTACATATAAATCATAGTAGTCGAGTTTCTACGATGTTTCACGAGTCAAGATGCGACAAGTTGAACATTGGTTATCAGCATGTGCTGATGTAAATGACGTATGTACTGCAAGAAATGCTCATGGGGCGCGTTTGTGCGTGAGCTGCCGATTTAGTGTGTTTATGTGTGTTATGCGAAAGAGTAGTGAGTGTGCGTGTGTGTGTCTGTGCCAACGTGCACGTTTGTAAATGAGAAGTCACTGAGTCTGTGTTCTGCAAAGAAATGTGCATGGGGCGCCTGTGTACTCACTTATTTCTACGTACGCGATCTGCTGTGCACTCGACAGGTACACTCACGATACGCATGTCACAGAGAGTACGAGTGCACGCGCATTTGACCACACTGATCCAAGGTCACGAGGTCACACATCTGCGAGCACAAAACGCTTATATGCTTACGCACGACTCGAATGTCATGGTGCGTAAAAAACTGCGTGAGAGAGCAAAAGTTGCAACAATAACAATAAATTGGAATAAAAACCCTCGATGGAATGGCAAATATCCAATATACAACCAATATAAGAATAACATAACTTAGATCATTATTTCTTCAAATAAAACTATATATAGCACGGAGCACCACTATAAATATTAATCTTAGAAGCACTATAACAGTCTTAATCACAGAAAAGCGCGTGGTGTGCCGTAGAAGCTAACCATCAGTTTCTAATGGAAAATCAATCTGCAGACGGGGACATTACCATAGCGTTACCGTCCATTAGCCTCTGACGTACCCCTGTTCCGCCCCCCCCCCCCCCCCATTAGCCTCTGACGTACCCC